TTCTGCACAAATGAGCTCATCCTCCCCTACACCTGGTGAAATAGACTCAACCTAGCCAAGAAAGGTACCCAAATCAATCTACTGTCTCGCTCACAGTCTTCAACTTAATTTATTGTCTACAGGAGAAGAGCATTTAGAGACACTTTTCTTCCTGCAGCAAAATGAAGTTCAGCTGCACTACCCTGAATTATAGAACAGCCAACAGTTTCCCATTGTGAAAACAAGAGACTCATTTCCAAACTCCATTCAGCACTTTCATTATGTTGAAAATAAATTTCAAACTAAAAAACAAACAAACAACAAAACAAAAGCTTCTGCAGAGCTTGTGCAAAAACTGTCATTAACTCATTTACTCTCATATAGGCCCTGTAGCATAAGTGGCAAAAAAAAGATGCATTACCACAACCTGCTTTTCAGGAAAAGCCTTGTCCGATCTTTTGGGAAATACACAACATATCAATGAATTAATAAATCTTGTTAAAGTCCTGAAAAACCTTTGCGTGTATTTGCAATTCAGCATCAGCAAGACCCAGAAGAGTGATGACAGCTTTGTGAGCAGCTACAGGAAAACAGTTCACAACAGTTTTGAATCCTAATGTTGGTGAGGTTTTTTTTTCCCCCATCCTTGAGAAATGCAGTTCTTTGTGAACACACACTTGCCTTGTGTATGTATACATGAGTCTTGTGCAGGTTTTAGGGACTAAACTATCAGTTCTGCTGAAATACTGCTCAGCTGTTCAGGTAACGCCACGTGCTCCTAATTTGAGAATAAACAGAGCTGAATTTCCTCAGAGAAGAACTAGAGATGTGCTGTTACTGAAACCTGAACAACACTGCCATAATATAAATATCTTGCCCAAAAAACAGCATGCAAGGCAGAACAGCCAGGCCGCAGGGAGAAGTATCTTGTGTGACACCTCCTTAAGATCTAGATAAAACTAGCAAAATTTAAAATCCTGTCAGGGACATGGGCTTGGCATCAAAGAAAGATCTGGCTTTTATTTCCATTCATTAAGAACAGAGAAAACACTAAAAACATTCCAAATTAAAATGAAAGTGTAATTTTCAATATTAATTTACTATTTATTCATCTTGAAAGTCCTTTACCTTACAGACTGCATTCTAAGCATGACTGGGCAAAATAAGAAAATTACTTCCTAATTCAGGGTTCAGAGGAATTGGAAATACAAGCACACAGTGAAACCACTCACAGTAAAAGAACCTCACAGTTCTTAAGTCTAATGAGTTAGAAATAATCATGGCCTAAGTTTATGCCAGTAAGTAAAATAAACTGAAATGTACACTTGTAATGTGAATGTGGAGACCCTAAGGCAGTGGCATGAAATTAAAGGCATGAATTAATCTTATAGACATTGAAATCCTAATGAAACAACCTTGACTTGGGCAGCTTAGAAAGAACCACAGTGAGCTGAGTAAGGTGCCATTTTTATTTTTCAGCTTGACACCTAGGGGAGCAATTGTCTTTTGGCCCACCTGAAATGAGGGAAGCAATTCATTCACCAAGTGAAAAATGAGCGTAGGAGTTATCAGAATAGAATTTTAATGCTAGTGAGCAGAAATGTGATGAGAATAACATACAGAGTAAGCTTTACTCTCAGGCTTAACTATTTAAAATGTTGTCCAGAGTTGTCTTGCCCCTAAAAGACAAAAAGTAACTCTGCTGGTAACCCACAAACTTTTGTGACAGGGGAAAATCACCACAATCCTATTTATACAGTGATTTTAGAGTGATCAATACAGTAGGCAACCAAGAAACAGGCACAATCCACTGCATTACAACCCATGAACTAGTAGTATTTCACATTTCAGCAGATCAGAAAAATGGCTACACGCATATAGAAGTTTTTAAAGATGTTTCTTACTTTCTGAGGCTGTCCTTCTTGTCTTCTCTTGTCAAGCAGCTGTCCAGATGTTTGTTTATATGGTGCTCTGGAATAGCAACCTCACAAACAGGACACTCCACTGAAAGCAAGGGAGAAGGAATTTACTAACATGTATATTACAGTGAAGAGCAAATGTTTTCATCAGGAAAAGTAACTGCTGATTGAAGGCAATGAAAATCCAGAATTCCAGATGTCTTTTTTTTTTTTTTTTTTTTTGATCTGCCATTTCTATCCAGAATCTGCATTTTTAGCTCTCATTTTCATTCCAGAAGATTCATTTCCCTCTCTATGGAACATCAGAATGGCTTTCATCTTCTCTGCGGCCAGATGGAATGAAATGTCTAATAAAAGTCTAGAATTACACACATACTACACAGAAACCTAGGGGCTGGTACAAACAAAAGCACATTTCCATGCTAATGTCTTTCACTTTTGCAGTTATTTCACTCTGCTGCTTCATTTTGCTAAAACAGTAAAGCACAAACTCTATTAATAATATTCCCCATCTCTGGCTCTCAACAGCACTGTCAAAACTTGGGTTAACTCAGCCTCTCAGTACCCTCCCCAACTCAATTCTTCTTGCATTGTATTTTCAAGAAGCATCTATAAACATTACCTGTAAAGACAGTCAAAAACACAGACTTAAAACATTTGTCTTTAGCAATCACATTATGTCAAAACCAAAAGGCTAAATCAACAGTATGAGGAAGCTTCTTTAACCTCTAGATTAGTATGAAGTCAGTTTTTATTTAAAAGACAAAAACAAAAAGCAACCTATGGAAAAGGCTGTGAAATGTGAGAATTGAGAGTTCTCTAGTTACACTGCTTTGCAATTCCTGACTCCCATCACATGACACTCTGTTCAAGGGGCAAAAAATAAAAGCTGGGCCAGCAACATAAACCCAATAGTTCTGAGCAGCCTATTATTGTATTAGAAGTTAATATTTCAATTTGTCATTCTTCAGGGGTTGGAACTTGATGATCTTTAAGGTCCCTTCTAACCCAAACCATTATATAATTTCCAAACATAGGAACAAGTAACACTCACTAAAACCACTTCAGCATCACCTCATTTCAAGTCCTTCATTTACATTGTTTGACCAACTACTTTGCATTTGTTGAAATAATTTCAATGTAATGCATGCTCGAGGATTTAATAGGGTCATAATATGCTAAGCAAGTGAAAATTTTGATTGCTGAAGAATAAATGAGCAGTAAAATTCCATATGAGTTTTAAATTACTAATGCAAGTGAGTTTGATGCATAAAACTAGGCAACTTCACTTCTGGCCAAGTCAATGCCATACTCTAATGGCTGTATCACATATTTCAGCAGTATTTACCCAGCTAATGAATAAATGTGGACTTTGGAGTTCCAGTTCAATAAATTGTTAAACAAAAGAACAGATAAATATCAACTAATTAGAGTCAGAGTTGTACTCCTACGTGGTCTTCTAATTCAGGCCTTTAGTTGGGTCAGTAGGATGCCTGCCCCCGTGTCACAACTAAGAGGATTCTGTGATTTCATTGTACTTCCTTAGTATAACTGGGCGTTTTCATGCTTCAAAATAAATTAATCTTAACACTGGAGAATAATGGAAGAATAAAGCAGATTACATGCTTCTGAAATGTGTATGAATAGGAATATTAACCAAAACAAAGCCAGGATAATTTTGATTCTGGGTACACCCATCAAACAACAATACATTGTAAAACAGCTTGCTTCTGGTTACCTAAGGACAGGGGAGCAGAAGGAATGTCAGTGTTGTCTGTCCAGTCATTGAGGGGAAGGAGAGAGAAAAATGACTTCATTTTTTACTGAGTCAGTCTGTTGTGCAACTATTGTTGTTTAGAGTTGTTACTCAAAGCAGAGGAATGTGCAGGCATTGAACTCCATTTAATTGCTTGGCATCAGCCTAGACTTCCTCAGGAATATGCCTGTAGCAGAGCTGTCCCAGACAAACCATGATCTGAATGAAGCTCAGTCCAGTTCATCGAGAAGCAGCAGGACATGCCAGTGCAGATCAGAGCACTGCAGAGAGGTGAGAGCACTGAGGAGACTGATGCCTACAGCCAACACAGCCACAGCCCTGGGGAGCACAACAGGACAGAAACAAAAATTAAGCATCCCACCTTTCTTGACTACTTTTAGCACTGATGTAGAAGGCTTTTCATGACTTCTGGTGCTCTTGGAACTCTCTTGTGATCCCACTTCAAAGTCTTTACCATCAGTTTCTGTGGATCTGCTAGAAAGGTTATTGTGTTCCTTGGTTCTGAAACTCTTCTGATCTGTGCCTGTCGGACCTTCTGCCTTGGTTGAGGAGCAGACATTTTCCTTTTTCAAGAAACTGTCGATCACTGGCAACTCTTCTTTTAAAGCTGGCCAAGAAACAGGACTCCTAGCATGGCTTTTGCCAGCTGAACGCCTGCTACTGGCCAATGGAGATGAAATCAGGGGAGTATCCAAGACCAACTGGAACAGCTGTTGTCTAGAAGCATCCAGAAGACAACACACAGTTAGCTACATTGGACAGTAACAGCTTTTTCTTTGAGAAGAAACCAGAATGAAAACAGACAAAGCTCTTCCCCCATTCCTTCCTCCCTCTCCCCTTTGCTCACATGCAGCACCCGGGAACCAGCTGTCCCCCCCAAACCAGGAGAGGGAGCACACCAGCTGAGCTCCACCACCTCGACAGCATCTAAAAACTCTTCCTGATTATCAAACAAAACATTTTACACATTACAAAATCACACAAAAAAAAAAAAATCACACAGAACACAGTAAAGAACAAGAAGTACTCCCCCTTCCTTGAAGATGGTAGAAGACCATTTTCAAGAGAGAGCACGTCAGGCACCTCACATAGCTGAGCCAAAGGGCACAAACCTTCCATTCTTTTCTCATACAAAAATAGGGAAAACATAACCACTCTCAAGAACAGCTTGCACCAGTCTCCAACAGAACCTTCCCACCCCTCTATGCCTGGTTTATCCCCCACTTGCACTACTCTCCTCAGGGCTACCAAATGTTAAGACATGAGCTAAACAGAAGTCTCTTTGAAAAGAAACAAACTTGTATTTTATTGGCAGGAACACGATAGCAGCAGACAGCTCATTCTTTTGTCTGTCTCATTAGTACTTTTAGCTCTGAACTAATATGAAGAATTATAAAGTCACAGTTATCTCGCTCAGGCAATTGCACAAGATCTTAAAGACCTGTTTTATTTCTACCCTTGCCCCAGGGCTTTTTGCAGAATCTTGTTTGTTTTGCCACATATTTTATACAGCTCAATCTAAGATAAATTAAGCCAAAGTCTGCACCCTTGGCAGGGAGACAGCACAGCAATTCAGCTGTCTATAGACTGCCCACTTGCACTCCTGCCCAATCCCAGGTGGAAGGAAGGCTTTCCCAGCTAACATCAACAATGGACAAACCATGGGCCCCACTCTGACCCCCTGCTACTTTGACAAGAGTTCTCCACATCCTGAGGGTCACAGTGAAGTTCACACCATCCAGCCAGACACAGCCAGCAGGACCCATGCAGCCATTAACCTGTTCCACTTGAATTCACTGCTCCCCTGGCCCCTGGCAACCTGCACACCTGTATGTGTGGAGCTTGCCAGCCTCGGGTGCCCAACAAGGAGTTTCAGTTTCCTGGACTACTGGATGTAATGACCTCATCTGTCAGTGGCAATTCACATCTGTCCAAGACACTCTGCAATGCGAACAAGTGCAATTAAGCATGGCAGCAAAACTATGTTTGTCTGACTGCTCATGCCTAGATATAGACTGAAGTCTGGAGGGAGGTTAATTCCCCAGCTGACACAGACTCTGAGTGGCCCAGCAACTGCTGGCACAGGATCAGCTCCACTGGGAGCCCAAAGCTGGGTGATGGAAACACAAAGGGGGTGCCCTCACACCGCCCTGCCCATCCTGCCTCCCCTGTACTGGGTACAGGGTGTCTCAGGCAGAGGGATGAGGGAGGTCTGACTGCACGAGTGGCTCAGCACTCTTTAGCAGCAATAATCAGCAAAGAATCTCATTTTGCTGCAGAAAAATGCACACTATTCCTCACCTTAAAGGTTACAAACTGTAACCTCAGAAGACTTGTCACATCAGAGGTGTGATACTCTACAATCAGGTTCAAAGCCAAGCAAATCAGCTACTTTTTTTTCCTAATATACTTAGGCAAAGTTTAATCCTCAGAAGGATGAAGATGGGTGTTCTACCAAAGATGTACTACTTGAAAAAAAAAAACCTTCCCCCTCTTTGAACAAGGAATTTATGTTGGTTATGTAAAAAGTCTGTTTCTTCAGACTGCCCCAGGTTTCCATGCAGGCAGCCTGCCGTTATGTCAAAGCTAATCAAGGTCAACACACAGGCCTATCATCTTATTCTTCTGGCTGTGGAACAACCATTTTACACACAAGCCTAGCACCCTATGCTACAGCAAGCTAAGCTCTGCATGGCCCAGATAACACAAAACAGATCCCTAAATTCAATAATTTGGCGTTCTATTGGTTAATTTTTCCCATAAAGAAAAATACAGCCCCAAAAAGCAAAAATACCTAAACAGTTAGTCACTTGCCTATACGCACTGTCTCCATCTAGAGAACACTACTGATCTCCCTCATCTTTTCAGTGTTTTCTGCTGCTTTTGAGAGCTCCTCCTCTTGTCAAAGGAACCTTCTACTATTTGTAACCATCAATTACCTCTGTTAATTTTCCACAACATCCATTCACTAGCTCAAATGCATTTCCCAATGTGTTCACACGAGCTGACAACACTCCCAAAAGTAAAACTTGACATCAGTTTGTACTTTCTCCAGACTTAACAGTGATTAATGTATCTTTCTCAATGCTTCTTTCTCAAGAAATGTCACAATAGTACATCTTGCAGCACCTTGAATAACTAATATTATTTAAGGCTAATATTTGCATGAAGACAGCTGGAATAGAGAAATCTCCTGAACAGAAATTTCAGATTCTCCAATAACAAGTTGTCACAATAAAATATGATCTGGTATAAAATAAAGACAGAAAGAAACTGGAAAAAGTATTAAACCCAAAATCTATCCTTACAATAATTTGATAATGCTTTAATTACATTATTGGTCTACAAATAATTATAATGAGTTTTTCCTTGTACTGAAGGACAAAGACTTTTGAATAGACTTTCTGAAGGGATCTGATCTTGGCACAAAATCAATGGAAAGAATACCAAGATGAGAATATGAACACTTGTTTGCCAAAACACACATGAAATTTCTGTATGCCTTTTTTTTGGTGGGAAAACACAGAACTACATTCAATAGAGGAGAAAACGTCCCAGACTGGCTTTTCCCAGAACATGGTCTTTTGGTCCTGCTGAGCAGCTTCACTGGCTGTGCAACAACATCTGGTGGCACTGGCAACCAGCACCCCAAACCTGGGCACCCCAGTAATGGAGGAGCCAGAGCATGGAGGGCACTCCTCACACAGCCCTGGGCAACAACAGCACCTCTAACAACTGCCATTCCTCTCCCTCCCTGCCAGAGCAAACGTCTCCAGTTTCTCACTGTTCACAGGAATTCTGATAGCTGTTATGGAATGATGGGACAGCCTGGCTGGAGGGGCAGATTCACCCATGACTCAGACAGCAGAGTCAAGAGGACATATGCAGAAGCCTGGACAATCCACCCTCTACCACCACCAGATGATCCAGCTCACCTAGAGGTTGATTCTACTGGGAAGCCTCAGGACAACCATTTTCAAAAAGCTCTGCATTTTGCAAGCAGTTTTTAACATCACCTATTACATACTCTCAAGAACTCAACACAGACCATCCCCTCTGAAAGTTTTCAGCACACATGATTTTCCATTCCTGGCACAAGGCAATGAATGTGTCACAGCTGACACACCACAGGCACTTGTGCAGGCTGGAAGATTAATCAACAAGATGTTAGTGTGTCCTGACATGCACTGTCACAACCACTACTCAAATCCTCTGAGACACATCCTCTCTAATCACTGGCTTGGGCTAGGACAGGCTGTTACACTTCTTTCAGTTGGGACTACAAAGGGATGGTCACCTAAACACCCCATGAACAGCACCTTCTCTCTGCTTCAGTAACAGCACACACACCTTGCAACATTTCTTTCTTCAGCTCTACAAGACCCACCAAAAAAATGTCAGTGTCCTTCATCAAGATCCTTGTTCCCATTTTGTGCCAAGTCTGTTTACTCCTCCCTTGACAAAGCAGCTATGAAGGAGGGAACGCAGGTGGGAATCTAGTGCTTCCACGTCAATAAATTGCAGGGAAGAGATGAGGCTGTGAATCTTGTAGGAACAGCTCCCACAGGACAGTCCTGACTGTACTAAAGGACAACTTCTCCTTCTGCGCTCCTCATGGAAGTTTAATCAGTGTATTAGAAATGACAGTCCCTGCTCTCTCAGGCACTCAGAGTGGATATGTTTATCCCTCTGACTCACTAGCTGACAAGTCACTCTGATTAGGAAACTAGGATATAAACTTGAAAGTAAAAACATATTTTTCTTCCCTGAGTAAGAAAAAAGCACAGAACATTTCAGCAAGGACTAGTTCCCTGCTTATGCAAGTACAGCTCTAATTTCTATTGCTAAATTTTCTAGCTAGGTAATGCAGAAACTGACAATTTTTATCAGAATAATCTCTTTATTAAAGGACAGTGAAATTAATTTCAGAGCAACCCCAGAACTTTACACTTACTATTTCTGAAGACACTGGCTTAATTGCAACCAATAAGAATGTTGTTCCCAAAGGAAAGCTGGCACAAGCAGCACTCCCTGCCTTGCTCTCCTGCCCTGGTCAGTGATGAATTCTGCAGCAAAGCAGAGCAGAAGCAGCAGAAAGCTGAGCATAGGCTGTTCTCACCCTGACAGCAGCACTAGCTAGAGCCACATGCTACCCCAACTCCAGCCCTGCTGAGGTTCTTCCTCTGCACCTGGGCAGGGTGGTATGAATTCAGACCTGTCAAAGCCCATTCTAAACTGCTGCCCTATTGCCCACAGAACAGAACATTAACAGGCCATAATCAGTGACACATCATCTTCACTTTTGGGAACCACCAATCCATGGCTCCTGTGGGGAGGAAGCAGGGCTCCCAGGGCAACACTCAGGGAGCACAAATGGCCAGGAAGGCTCCAATTCTGCCAGCACTTGGGCATGAGCTCTATGTTGAGCACAGGCAAAAAGGGATCAGCACTCAGGGCTAGTTAGGAAGATTTCCATTCCATGCACACACTGACCTTGGAGCACAGCTTTTTATGTTGCTAAGTACTACCAGCATTAACATTTTCTT